CTCTTCTAAATGAGGAAGATAGAAACAACAAAGGCTCGACTTCACTTCTGGACTTCAGCTGGTATGTTCTGCAAGTTCTGAAGAGTTTTAGGTTTCGGAAATCGGTAAATGATAAAAGTATATCGTTGTAGAGATTTCATCCCAACGTACAATTGGTTTAGGTGTTTGTTATAAAAAAGGTGAGTTTCCATATTTTCACAGGACTTCATCACTATCCCGTCTTGCAAAGATTTGTTTATAGCATACGCGAGTTAGACCTCTCTCTTTACTATCGTTTACCCTACATTATTAACTAATCGACTTTTCCTAACTGCACTGTTACTTTTTTGTTACGTCATGAATATTCCTCACAACAAAAGCTGTAAATTAGAAGCTTTAAAAAGATTTCGTAGGCTTCATTTATCATTTAAGTCACATTTCGTTTGGATACTCGGACGTAGCTCGGACAGCAGTAGCGGACAGTAAGACAGGAAGATTTTTAACAATGCGCTCACTTCTGCATCCGATGACGACGGGTGTGCTGTGCGAACATCATCTTCCAATGCGACGAAGAAGAGTTTTCCATTAATAATCGTTGGCGAGTAGACACCACTTTCGAGACTGTCAACCCGATATCTGAAATTTTGTTGGCTCCACTCTGAATTTTTAGCACATTTCTTCCGTTATGGAACTACCTCCCCTAAAAATTTCTTTACTGTACGCAATGGGACTTTATTACAACTTATACATATTACACATATTTATTACAACCTATACAATTCTTTTATACGAGCAACATATCAAATTAAGAATGGAGGAAGTTTCATCATTCGGGATATAATCGATATTCGATATATATTCGAAATATTCGATATAACATTCGACAGTGTCGCCCTTGAAGGAGGCTGGTTCGGTTAGACCTTTTCTTTTATTATACGCTTCATAAATGACATAGAGTTCGCTTTTTGAGGGAAATATCTGTGGTTATTTATCATCCTGCTGATCTCGATAATATCTTATCAACAGGTGATTTCAGTGCTGTAGTCTCAAATTCATTTACCTTAGCTCATTCGATGAGACGGGTTTACCGACAAGTGTTGTGCGTTGAATCGTAGAAGGATATTCCTGAAATAGTTCTCCTTATTCCATGGATTCCGTCCAGGTTCAATTTGCACCTTCTCCTAACCTCAGAAATTATGGCCTACTAGATAACTGAGAAACTCAGAATTGAAAGGGTTCGAATTCCTTTTTAGCGTAGCATGTTGATCTGTAATTTGACTGAGGAATGAGTTCTCTTTAAATTGTGCTTCCACTCCCATGATGTTGCCCGATTATTGCATCTTTCCTTTGTGCCATTTTCATAGCTTTTCGAAAACATTTCGAAAGTGTAAAATCGTCGTTTCGCAAACCTACAGTGACTTTTCCAACACTGTGATGCCGAAGTAGTTCGATGATATTGTATTTATTTCATTTTCATTCTCATCACCCGTTTTCGCATGAAGTGCAGACTTAAGCACTATCATTCTGGTGTTGCCTTGCATCAGTCATCTACGAAGTTATTTGAATTTCCGATTATATTCGGCTGAAATTTAAGGGATTTGCATTCCTCACGAATGCAGCTGAATATTGCCGAGTTAATTTCTCCTGAAATACTGGAATAAATATAATGGAGCGTTCCCAGGTCTCTATCATAGAGGCTGTCGCTGGCCTTTGCAGATCATATAGCACTTTGCCTACTCAGGTCTGGTACCTCCACCTCGTAGTGATCATGCGCTTTATGGCTTGGATCAGAAGCGCGATTGCTGCATGTTGGATAGTATTAGTGCATGGAAGATATATCCACTTAGGTTGGATAGTGTAGTAATCACTAACGGGTCCCATATTAGTAGTACAGATTAGCCATGGCTGACCGGAAGTGCATCAGAAAGTGAACGAGTGACGAGATCACCTACTGGACTGAAGAATTGAAATCATCATTTACTTACTTGATAGTTTGGGTTCTCATTCACTGACACGAACTGACGCAGACACATGTCCACGTATTGTGAAGGAATCTGGAATTACTATATCTGTGTCCAGCCAAAAAGTCTCTATAATGGACCAAATTTGCGGTTGTGAACTTGGAAAATTTTGCCGAAGCGACAAGAGATAACATCTTCCCTAAATATTGCTGTTAGAATGTAACGACACAGAAAACCTATCAATATTAGCCAAAGCTAGTGCGGAACATTATTGATTTATTGTGGCAACTTTGTAAGTAGGCATGAAGGACACCAATAGTAGTATATTATCGGTTCCATGACTTGTACTGCTTCTACAAATTTTTTGTTCAAATGTTCATCTTAGCTTTCATGGGCTAACTGTAGCCTGATATTAGCCTCTAAACAAGATCCATATATTTGTGCATTTGGGTGAACTTCAAATAGTGTCTCTTGTCGTTTGTCAGGATTTTGTTAAAGGTAGTTAATAATTCGACACACGCACAGCTGTCGGTAATCTCGGTTCCTCCAATTCCTGTGCAAGACACCCGTTATCTGAAAACCACGGACCAATTTTCTTCCTCTCTTTCTCCCTTTCTCTCTTTCTATTTGGTGACTCTGATTCAACAGTAGTGCTCAAGTCTAACGCTTACCGTTCAACTGATCCATCACATAATCACTCTTCAACACTTCCACGAGGCTCATTACATTAGTTGAAATGCAGAAATGAAATGCAAGAAAATATCAGACTAACTCATTCCTCTCTTTTATAGTGGCGATATTCACAAATCTATTATCAAAGAATATTTACCACATTCACATACACACATTTAATGAAACTTCCTAAGGTCGGAAGAGATGAGAGAAGGTCTTATACTCAACGACCATATCGGTCATTCCATTCCAAACACTTTACTGTTTGAGCACCTTAAATGAGGTTACGTCGGTTTATTTTTATTCATAAATTGTCACCACGACCTTACTATTTATATCTTTATCATTGTGGTACCCTGCAAACCGACATGATGCAAAAAGTTTCTTGCAAAAACATAAAGCAGTGCACATACTGTAAACCTTTTATTTACTGCCTATCACAATTTTTCATGGCACAGTAATACTTGTGATGCAACGCAGTAATGCTGAGATAATCTTAACCCTTTTATTTACTGCCTTTTTCTTTTTAATGGCAGGGTATGTTGCGAAATATAACTCATATATAGTGCTGAGATATTTGCAAAATTCCGGACCACAGGTGTATGCGGTGGGGAACGAACGCGCGCTATTGTCATTTCCGGGAAGTAGCGCACTTCACCACCACACCATCCGGGTAGATTGTGATTATAACTAAGCCTCAGCTTAACTGGGTTCAATGCCGATTTGGGCTCCCCAGATCAATCCCGTTGACGGGTAATTGCTGATGGCAAAAGATCAATAGAACTAGCTGAGAGACAGGCAAAACGAAGGACCCGGATGGTGTGATGGTGAAGTGCGCTACTCCCCGGAAATGACAATAGGGCGCGTTCGCTCCCCACCGCATACACCTGCGGTCCGGAGTTTTGCGAATATTTCAGCATTATATACGATGCTGAGATATTTGCAAGACTCCGGATAGCAGGTGTCTGTTGTGAGGAACGAACGCACTATTACCCTTTCTGAGGGCTGACGCACTCACGGTCACGCTATGCGGGTCCTTCGTCCCACCTGTCTCCTGGCTAGTTCTAGTTCAGTGCACATATTTATTTGACCTGTCATAAAAAAATAGAATAACGGAAAACACTATGGCTGTGAAGTCGAGGGCCACATTCACAGCTATGTTCCACTAGACGAAAAATTTGAACTTTGCGCTTCAGTCGTTCTTCAAAGCTTTTGTATATAAAACCTTTATAGGTTTCACATTTTAGTCTTTGGACTTTTATGTCAATTCTTAATGAAGTATCCTTTACATTCGGTACTTCAATGTTATTGTTGTTTTCTGCGCTGATTTTCGTCATGTACTTGAATAGCTCGTAATCGCCGATCTTGCGAACCAAGAAGATTCGCGCAGGATCAGCACAGTTTCCATGCCACTAGCAATCTGTTAGTTTAGCAAGTTTCTTTTTCTGGAATCTCAGAATCCGTTCTTCTCAAGGTCACTGTCACTAGCCATCTGATGATTCTGCTGAATTCGTGATTTTGGTTGCTCCAGCCAGTGATTTACGTTTTCCTAGTCTATCAGATAGAAACATCGAACGCTTTAATTTAGTAGATACAGGTATGGTCGAAACACTGACTTATATCACACTTCGATGTCAGCGATCACCACCTAACCACGACGAGGAAACAAACCTTTGCGGCGCGTTCGCTGTAGAGCCTGTCGTCGTCATCAGAATCTTGGTATAAAACCTCGTAATGTTGCGCATGTTCTAAACATGTCACAGTTGCAAATACAGTATATCTTCAGCTTTATTTTAAACAATGAACACGAAAAAAAGCGAACGCCTGTGAAAACCTCAGAGGCACATGGAAAGGTTAAGATTCATTAAAACATATTCGAATAATAAAGAGACTTGTCAATGGGCTACGACTGGGACGATAGTGCCTTTTCACATTGATCATTTCTTTATAGCAGCTGTGATGCCAGAGCGAATCTGCCATGGATCACGTTTTTAATAGTTTACTTCGCTTACCACTTTACGATTTCCATCATACACTCTTTAGAGCAGAAAAGAACTTTACTCTGGTGTCACGTCGCTGAGTTTCATCATCTGCATTGAACTCACAGAGATCTCAGTCAACGCTGTTCTATTCGAGAGCACTATGGTGGCAATGATAGCCGAATAGTGATCCGTAGGAATTTAACCTTTTGGGCAAAGGTAGTGATCTTGAAGCACAGCGTTCTTTAGTTTGCGGATTGTGTGTAAGAGGTTGCAGCTTTTCATATAGATTACACATAACTTCCAACAGCAATAATAACGCTACTCGGTGCATAGCAAAAATAGCTACGCTGCAAAATGATATCCGCGGTTACGATCTTTCAAGCTCTGCTCCTGACTCTAAATAAGCTCATAAAAAACCAGTAATATTCGAGGATAGCGATTCGTTAATATTCACTTGTGAGCCGTAGAGAAATTCCGGCTTCATATCTATCACAGTCGTAACCGCACCTATCACCAACAGAAAGCATATCGCTATCATAATCATGACGTAGACTGGAGTACACGAGAACGGCAATGCCTCTTCAGTGGGAGGTGGTTGGGCTTCTTTAGTCGAAGCGCTTCTTTGGTTTGACGACGTCGGCTCAAAAGCAGTAGTGGAAAAATAGTTTTTGATTTCAGTGGCATTTTTACCAACGCTGACTGCTGACGACGACTTCTGATTAACATTCGGCTTGACCGGCGACATCGATAAGAAAACAAACCTGAAGTAGGAGAACATTTAGCGAAAGAATACAGGAAATAGAAACAGTAAACAAGATTTTTAATAATCACCCAACTAGACCAACAGTAATTCCTTCTGATAGCAATCACGGACTTCCCAACACACTACGCAAACCGAAGGCCGAGAGAGTTGGGCTTGAAACTCTATTTCAAAACCACTTCATCGAATCATGTCGCATGAGGTTTTTATCTCTTTAAATATTTGCATCACTCTTCAGCACCTAGAATAACACCCGACTATATTTCTCATACTAAAACATGGGCAGACTAGTCGGGATGAGTTGACCGCACTTCATAGCACATGACGCAAAAACTTAGAAATCGGTTAGCTGGCAGTAGCAACACGAACAGTTATAAATGTTGAAAGAAAAACAATTTTGAAGAGTGAACGAACAACGGAAGGGAAAATTTTTTCAACATTTGATCGAAGCAAAAAATCCAAGAGCCAAAAAATGTTAAAATTTTAAAATTTGTACCGTATTTATTAAAAGTAAATCATGAGAGAAAAACAGGTATTCAAATAAATTGAGTTTAAAGGCATTTTCTTTCGAACAGGTTTCAAACGGAAAAAGATCGGTTGCAAAACACTCAACAAAATTTCTAGCGATCAAAAAGTTTAATTTCTCGAGTTTTTATATTTATTGAAACATATCGTGTACTAAGAAAATACATGTGTTATGTTTTGTCTATTGACGTAATGAAAGTGTTTAACTGAGCAGACTGCATTTCTATTCGACGTTCCCATGCTTAGAAAAATGCTAAACCTCTCAAGTGTCAATAACTACACACGAGTAAGTGCTGTAATAACGACTTCGTATTGCCTCATCAAGAAAGGTGATCTAAAAGTTGTTCAAGGAAATGTAAGTAAAATTAGATGTTTAGTTTATAGAAAAGTAAATCAAAATCCACTGTGCGCTTACGTCACCAAATGTGAGCGTTATGAGAACCATTTTGTGAAGAATGAAATATTGCCATTTTTGCACAATCAAAACAATAGGCTGAAACAAAAAGACTTTACCATATGACAAATAAAAGCCTCTAAATATGAGCATACTCTGTTATTCAGACACTCGAAGCATTTTCCCTGACAACTACAGTACCTGACTTCATGTGCCTGCTTTGAACCCGGTACACTCTTCATTAGCAAAACGGCTTATAGATGTACAGCGGCAGCCCATCATACTGGGATGCACGTAAAGGCAGAACTTATGATTTCCTTTTTTTTTCATGGTCTATATCTTATTCATAACTGCATTGCATACAATGCGTGTAGGCCTATTTATGTTAACTTTTTTATCTACTGTCTTCTACAATTTTTCACGGCAGGATATTATGTAAACTACAGTCAGAATGATGCTGAGATACTTACAAAACTTAGGACAGCAGGTGTCTGTGGTGGGGAACGGACGCTGTATTACCCTTTCAGGGGGCTAACGCATTCACCACCACACCATGGGAGTCTTTCGTTTCGCCTGTCTCTCAGTTGGTTCTATCGATCAGTGCCATAATCAATCATACCTCAAGGGATTGATCTGGGGAGCCCAAGAGAAAAGAGAAGGGATTAACTGGGTTCAATGCCGATTCCTCTTCTCCAGATCATTCCCGTTGGCAGGTGTTGATAGCACTGGTAGATGAAAAACTGAAAGGTGAAACGAGAGACCCGCATTGGTGGTGAACGCATCAACCCCAGGAAAGGGTTGTATCGTGCTAAATCCCTCCCCCACCTCACAGACACCTGTGGTCTGGAGTTTTGCAAATATGTCAGTATCACTAGAATATTTGTTATATCGCAGAGCATTCACAATCTTCGTCGTCAAAAATGAGGAAGACATGGTGTTTCCTTCTTCAGAAAAATTCATACAAAATGATAGGAATGTTTCGTTAGACCCAATGCATGACTCCATTTCGTATGCACTTTTTTGTCTGATTTCTTGCAGTAGAAAAACTTGTGTAATACTTAGTGAGAGAGTGGAAGACACCGACTTTTGCCCCAATGACACTTTAAGTGTGCCATAGACGATGACAAATATGAAAATCAATATACGAAATACGTTTGATCAATATTCTCTTGGGTTATTCAGCGAAAACGAGACTGCAGAAAAGGTTAAGATGAAGCTACGATAACAATGTTAGCATTTTGTTTCTTGCCTACTAAAATTTCCACTGCAAGGTATTATGTGAAATACAACTATAATGACGCTGCAATAACTCTAAAGACCGACTTTCAGTAAACCTCGGCATAGATAGTTGATAAATTTATTTATATGACCTTATAAACTGATCCTCTTTAGCTGATGCGAGGTTGGTAGACGTTTTTGTTGTCGCGGTTGTTGTTGTTATTATTGTCCTTGTTGTTGTTGGTCGATGGCTGACGTTTCGGTGATTTCGCCTTCATCAGAGCCGTGATGTTACGAGTGGGACTCAGCAACAAACAACGACAACGACAACGAAGACCTATACCAACCCGCATCAGCTAAAGAAGATTAGTTTATAAGATCATATAGGCAAACAAATGCTGAGCTATTTACAAAACTCCGAACCGGAGCTGTTCGTGGTGTGGATCGAACACGCTGTTACCCTTTCCGGTAGCTAACGCGTTCACCACCACACCATGCAGGTTCGTCGTTTCGCTTGTCTCTCAGCTAGATTTCTATCTAGCAGTGCGATCAGCAATTGCACATCAATGGGATTGATCTGGAGATCACAAATCGGCATTAGGCCCAGTTAAGCTGAGGCTATAGTTGAAATTAGGAACAATAATTAGGTTATCTCTAAAACGTTCGACAACTGCCTTTAGCGCGTTCATAAGAAATCGATTGACGCAGGTAGACATTTGACCAGAAATCGCAACGTAGAACTAATACGACGTTGCATTGTAGTCAGTTAGTTACAAAAGGCTAGAATAGAATGGGATTTAAAAAACACTTGGAGTGGGGGCGAAGTGAAATACTGCGAAAGACAACAACTCGACCTTTCGTCGCCCGTGCTCATTAGATAATAAATAATAGGTAATTCGGTCTCGGCGACATAGTCTCCTATGAAATAGTAAAACCAGTTCCCCAATATTAGTCGCCGATTTCGTTAGTTGACACCGAACTAAGCATTACTCGTAAAGAAAATGAGGCATAGTTGTTCTAAGAAGGAGACAATCAAGCTAATTCATTAGCAACTTGAACTTTGATGGTATAGAAGTCTCATATTTCACCAGTGGTGCATCAATAACTTTGTTAGAGTATCCTGAACTTGCTCAGTTGCAATAGCAATAACACTAACAACGTTACTATTTAATATGTTCTATAATACAAGACAGGGGCGCAATGGTCAGAGGCGCCTTGCAACACACACGTGGAATCGATCCCCGCGCCCGTTGCTCACCAAGCCTTCCATCCCCCCGGGGTCGGGAAAATTGGTACCAGCTTTGTCTGGGAGGATAGCAGCAGCGAATCGATACATCAGTACGACAGCACAAGTCGTTCTACATGCCAGATATGCATTCAGTCACCTCCTAACGATGCTTAATGAGGTCGAATGCATGGCGCATCCCTCAGGGATTGATAAACGCGGAGAGCTTTATCTTTTTATTATGCAAGATTATATATATATATATATATATATATATGCTTACCTTGGGCGATCAATGAACACTGAAAACAACATGAAGGAGGAACTAGATGGAAGAAGAAGAGCAGCTTGGGCTGCATTCGGGCCTCTCAAAGAAGTCACCGACCAACTGAAGGACCCGAAAACTCGCGTTCATCTCTGATTCTACGGTTCTCCCAGCGCTCTGTTATGCTGCAGAGACGTTGGTTGACACTTCAACTACGTCAAGAATGTTTCGAACTACTCACAGAGCGCTTAAGCGATGTCTTCTGAAATATAACCGGCACTCTCAATATGTAGCCGGAGATGACGACATGGAGTAGACTTTGACCAGGCTAACCTCGGGACTCCAAGGAACCACAATACTTAACCAGCAAATTTCCGAAAAATGAGAATTGTGCTGGGGTCCGCACAACCAATGAGGATGTTCAAAAATCAAGTAAGTAAGTTTTATATTATATATTGGATTGCAACATTGTGGTTGTTCAGCTTCTTAACCACCACGTGTGGCTCGTAAACGCAACGTCTTAAAGGATCTAAGTAATGGCTGTGGTTAGCCGATTGCTACCCCACTCTGTTTTCTAATCGTATTCTGGTTTATCTAACAACGAAACTGACAATAAACAATAAGATACTTCAACTACGAAAATTTTCGTCAAATTCTCTAGGAAAACGCCACTTTTGTTCACTATGTTAACCAATAAGAAAAAAAACTCGGTTTTTCTTCAGTGAGACTCGGAAGTGAACTAATACACGAAAGAAAGCGAAGCAAAGTAAGAGAACAAAATAATTCTGGTGACAATAAGAGTAAAAAAAATATAGTAATCAATGAATTAGCGACAAAGTGATTTAATTCCCGAAAGAAAACGGGTTTTGCCTTTGTCTTTTTCAAGAATTCTACACGCAAATCAATGAGACAAGCCTTTGAAGGATCGTCTGTAATACGTAGCGAATTCCATTGCCCATTAGAACTCATCAGCAATAAATGGGACATCAAACACCCAAATTACTATGCGTCGGCGTAACTGGTCCGAAAAGATGCGTTGTTCAGAAAATTTCACTGCCATGAAATCAATCATAGATTCGAGCGGTAAAAAATCAGTGACATACCGCGAATGGTTTTTCAGCTATCAAGGAATGAAACATTGATGACTACAGTGGTGACCCTTATCGAAGGAATGATGATTCCATAGAAAGAGATGAGAGAAGCGGGCTGGTGGAATTTCGAAACACCACGAATGAACCGATAGCAATTATGTTATTATATTGTCACGAACTATCGCTGATAACCGGGCAACATGTCTTCCTCTGAATGTAAATATGTATGGTTGCCTCGCCTCATTCTTCAAAGAAGAGTGATTAGGAAAAAGAACTTTGAAGTAGGCAAAGTCACCGAAG